CTTTCGCACTCAGCACTATTAAATGTCATTTTATGTCTATCACTCCGATCAACAAAGTCATCTAAATTCCTTTCACATGATAATCTGATCCTCCTCCGTATTGACAATACCTCCCAAGTTTTTGTCATTCCACACAGCTCCTGGGCACACACCCAAGACCCTGTACACAGGTCAGAGTGGATCCTTTCAACAGGCCCAAGCCTCATCCCATGGGAGGAACACTACTAATCTCCCTCCATGCTGATGACTTTCTCTGAATACCTCTCTCCATCCAGATAACTTTATTCTCAGGCAACAGTTGCATCTTTTCCTTGGCCAGCTCCTTTTCCACTTTTCAATTCTTGTCTTGAACGACCATCTTTATTTTAGGCAATAATGTCCTGTGGGGCATGGTATCAAATGCTTGTCTTTAGATAAACTACATTCCTGCCTTACCCCACCTAAATAAACTGTTATACAAAAAAGACATTAGATTAGTTTAGCACAATCCACCCTTGATAAAATCTTGTTGTAATTTAGCCTGCTTCCTCATTATTTCCACGTCTAATTATTTTTTCCTACAAAATACGTCATGAGATGCTGGGTACTATTGCATTCAAACCTGCCAGTCTATAGTTCCTGCATTGCTTTTTTATTTTTGACTGTATAGGGAGTCCAGGTATAGAACACAAATGCTTGCCCTCTTTTGCACCTGAAGAGCCATGGGAGAATCTTTTTGCAAGCCATCCAAGCCCTGTGCCACTGCTTTCAGTATTCCAGGACTGAGATTATTGGTACTGCTTCATTTGTCTCACTAAGATATTTAAGTTTTGCCTGTTTTTTTTTTTTAAACTTTGCTATGAATAGTTTTCAGTTGCCTTCAGATTTGTTAGTAATTACACTCTGTTCCAGATTCTGCAGAAGGTTCTGCTTTCATGAGAAAGTTGTGTCATTATTTAGAGACATCAGTTCTCCTTTCAGTTTAGACACATCTAATTTCGGTTCTGTGCAAATTGACTAAGTGCAGGTTTTGGTTGAACTCAAATAAGCTAATTCGAACCAAAATAAGAATATCCTTATGTGAGGTCACATCAGGTTAATCAAATCACTTTAAAAACAGACTTAAACTAAATTGGTGTAATCTCCCCATGTAGACAAGGCCAAAGCCAATAAAGGAATATGAAGTAGGTAAAAGTCTCTCATTAATTGCACACACATCTGCAGTTTGACTGAATCTGGTGGTTCTGAAGCTAGGCAGATGTGCAGCCAGCAAGCCCAGTGTGCTTGTCAGGGCCTGCCACCACATCAACCTCGCTTAAACCTGGGCTTAAGTGAGGCTGGAGTAACAATAATTAGGGTCTCGCAGGACTTCTGCCTGGGGGCATTGCTCCTTCAGCATACAGGCCACAAGGCAAGTCGTGCTGTGGTATACAGTCCTGTGGGCACCAAAAGTAGCAGAGAAACCAGGAAAAAAGAGAAATGGCCTCAGCCTGGGTGGCAGAACGGGGCAAACCCAGCAAAGCTGCAGCCAGGTGAGCCGTGCCGCTGTGGCTGTGCCGATGGGCGCAGAGTCGCTGTTGCAGCGGGACAACGTGTGGCACATGGAGCAGAGCACGGCCCCCAGCGAGCCAGGATTCATGGGAGAGAAGGGGCTCACCCAGGTCCTAACAAATGAATACAGTTGCTTTACCTGCCTGACTTCCCTAATACAGATTTGGAACTGAACTGGTAGAGAGCTCTGTAATTTCAATAGAACCAGAAAAGACTGGTTCATACTATTTTGGGTTTTATAGGTTTTACTATTTTGGTTAAAGCCATATTAGTCCACTAGGATCCATAACTGTCCCAGTATAAGCCTGAATTCAGTTGTTGTGGTATAGGCACATAGCTTATTCCTCCAATCTTGAAGGAATGAGCTATGCTGGCATTAAAACCTTTGTACCATTACATGTGAATCCTGGGAGGTTGCGTAATTTAGGGCAAAACAATGCAACTTCTGTGCATAGACAAGCCCTGGCTCCAAACTGTAAAGACATCCTACCAATTTTTTGATATTACTAATGAGCAGGAATTGTATTCAACATCAGTATCTCTGCGCTGTAATGTTCCTTCCTCCATCATGAGACTTTAATTATGAACTACTCATTTGCTAATTTTAATCTTTAACCCTGAGCTATTTTTGTGTACTTGATGTGTGCCATAAACCAACAAAATAATTTAATACAGACATAGTCTCAGCGGCTAAAACCGGGAACATGTATCATATATCTTACTGAAGTGTGCAGTTTATAAAAAAAAGTCAAACCAATTTTACTTTTCCCTCTAAATCAAGTAACTGTAATCCACAGCTTGGAATGAACAGGATAAATGAGCAGCAAGTAACCACTCCTAAAGCCATTTGCATTTTTCCTATTACATCTTCCAGAAGAATTCTAAAGATTCAGTAGTAAACATGTTTAGCCCAAGAGATACGAATGCCTCCCTTGCACACAAACTTCCACTTTTGGCTTACTCTGGAGCCTCCTCTCCTCATTAGTGGCTGCTGCATTTGTCAGGGCTCTGTCAGCCGCAGAGCCCCCGCGTGCTGTTGTTACGGTGCATCAGTGCACGGGGCTCTGTTCTTCCCCAGTGCAGCACTGACACACTGGCTTACTCTGATTAGCACATTACGGGAAAACGATTATTTTATTTTTTTTAAATACAGTTTCTAAAAAAAACAAAAACCCAAATGTATTTCTTCTGACTGGATAACTGTGGTAGAGGCATTGCAGCACAGGAAGTTTATAAAAATTACACAAATTCCCAGCCGAAACAGCACATGTTGTCAGATACCCAGTACCAGGGCTTCACACTGTGTACTCCTGAAATTATCTGCTGCTTCATACAACATCCGTAGGACCTGTGATGACTGTAAAGCCTACATATCAAACCCGTGAAGCTGTCTCTTTAAGGCAAATTCCCATTTCCAGAGCTAGGGATTTTTAGCCAGCAGTGATCCAGCAAAATAAGGACAGAGGACCACCAATATTCTGCTCAAAAATGAAGCAACTCCTAGCATTTTCTCATGTCTACACCAGAACATCTCATCCCATCAGCGAAACCAGCACCACTGCTTTCACCACACACAACAAAATAAACTTCAGCCAATAAATAACCCTGCCCTCCCAGGTGATCCTGCACCCTCCCAGGTGGGTACGACATGGGGCATTTTAAGAGCTTTGATTTCAGGGACATTATCTCCGGGGCCACTTTACAGCTGAAGAAGATAACTTCATTCAGGAATCAGGGGTACTTGGCACTTAGGTGACCCAAAAAGGACTGATGTGCTGGACTTCTCCAAAATCCACCGAGGAGAGACCTGTTCTGCCATGGCTCAGGAGCCTCCTGCCTTCGGGGATTGTGGCACTTTACAAAGGACAACAGCTCTCCAAAGCGCGTGTGACACCTCACTGATGAGTCACACAGGGCTCAGCTCCGACCTGTGCTTCCAGTGTGAGCTACCCAGAGCAATCAGTTCACAATTTCTGCCACTAAGGACCAAGGCTTGGAGTTATCATTCACAAATCCACGGCTGAAACATATGAGGGACTTTCAAAGCCTTCATGATTCCCCGTTTATAATGTAAACATGCTATAAAATCAAACAACACAATAACCCTTGCTGGAGGAGTAACTTTTCAACCTGGATCTCAAATGCTATCTTTAGGTGCAAAACTCATTTCGGAGGTTTTTCCCCGCACTGTTTTCAGCAAAACACATTCCCTCAGCGACGGAACTTGCAGACTACGATCAGACCCATTTCAGACTCCCGAAAATCGGTTTGCTACAACCCCAAATCCCCGCAGCTCTCAG